ATCTTTGAAAATTTTCCTTTGCTCCAATGAATTTTCCTTTTCCAGAACTTAACCTTTGATCTTTTTTAGGAATTATATTTTTTAACACAATAATTTTTACTTTTTTTTGTTTTGCATTAAGTTCTCTAGATTTAGTTCATTTTGATTGCATAAATCTATGACATCATCTAGAAAAGGGTCCTTAGCGGTTTGGTTTTCAAACTGTGAATTTACAATATCAAAGGTTGTTTTATTGTTCAATATGTAAATAAATAACTTTGACTTGTTTTGCAGTACGATTGTTGATACATCTTGGATGTAAAACAAAGAATGAATATAATTTTTGCTGTGTTTGGAAACATTGAAGATTGATTTATAATTTCAAAGTTCAAAACCATGCGTAAGTACCGGAACCACCAATGTTTTATATGATGTTTTATATATGGTAAAGAATTTTGTAAAAACTGGTATAAGTGCATACTGGCATAAGTGCGAACTGTCATAAGTGCATCAAAAGAATTTTCAAACATTGACTTAAATAGAATAAAAGAATTAGCAAACATTGTAATAAGCTCGAATGGCAATAAACGCGAACTATAAGGTAAGCGCAAAGCAAAAAAGTTGCAAATCGGCATAAGTGCCCCAAAAGAATTAGCAAATATTACCGTAATTACAAAATAACGCTAGTTCAAACTGGCAGAAGTGTGAAGCAGAACTAATATAAGTTCGATTTGGCGCCAAGTGCGCCAAAAGAATTTTGTTGCGCTTACGCCAATTAACATTTATGCCAGTTCGCAATTACGCCAGTTTTTGCAACTGCTTTGCAATTATGCTAGTTTGCACTTATGCGAATGTTTGCATATTCTTTTGGCGCACTTATGCCAATTCGCGCTTATGCTAGTTTGCGAATAACTGACATTCCCATTAAAGTTAAACCATGCTATAAGTTCACATGGTAGTGAAATATCATTTTTAATAAGTTTGGAGTTTTTTGTGCTATCTATCTATCTTTAGCAGCTTCTGAAATTACCTTTGTAATTTTTTTGAATGGTTTGAAGAGTATGAATTTTATATATAACTATAGGTAAAATAATTTATGCATAATAACTGTTTATAATCACAAAAGAACTGTCAACGAGTATTCGGCAGCCGAATATTTGTTGCTTCGCCGAGCGATAAGCCGAATATTTCGTATTTGGCAAAATCACTATTCGTGACATCTCTAGTTAAAATGATTTATTTATTCAATAGTAAAATAGAAAGTTGAATTGGTCCGCTTCGTTTTCTAATTCATTAAGTTCACAAACTTGAAGTAAACAAAATGAAGTAGTGACAAGTCTTACAAGTATCAAAGCTGGAACTAGTAAGCAGCATTTAGATATTGGGTACACTTGCCGAATAAGCGATTATGGAGACTTCCAAAACTTTTTTTTTTTTAAACATATTTTTGCCGTTTAATAAGTATTACAGTTTACAAAAATTTACAATTAAATTAATGGCCGGCGCAAGAAGAAGGCATTAATTTGTCTTATCGCCGAGCACCGTGTTACAATTTATAATTTTTTACAAAGTTATTGAAGAATATATAGTATATAAGAAAAATTGAATAAATGTTTACAAGAATTTAAAAAATAAAATAAGATATTGTTTAATACATAATATCATAAATAGACAAAATAAAAGTAAAAATCAATATATATATATATATATATATATATATATATATATATATATATATATATATATATATATATATATATATATATATATATATATATATATATATATATATATATATATATATATATATATATATATATAAATTTATACATATACACACACATATATATATATATATATATATATATATATATATATATATATATATATTATATATATATATATATATATTTATATATACATATACACACATACACATACACTCATAAATAAGTACAAATATACACATACATGAGTATAAATATATACACACAAAAAATAAAAAGCGAGAAAATGTGATTTGTGATAATGGTTATTGTCAATAAAATTTTAACTTTTTTTGTTTAATGATAACCAGGAACAGTTACCTTGTTTTTATTTATAATTGATATATCTGATCTATTTTAAAAGAAAGACTAATGATAAAATAAATCAAAATCTGTGTTTAATAAAAACTGTTTTGAATCAGTTTTGAACTGATGTAGAGAAGTTTTCTTTTTGGAAACAATGTTTGGGAATCTTTTCCACAAAAGTGGTCCGCGATTCTGAATTGAATAAGAATTCTGTTTAGAATGAGATTTTGGAATAGCAAAGTGGTTTGCGGAAAATTTTGTAGCATATTTATGGTGTATTTCTTTAAATTAAGTTTCAAAGATTTTTGGGGACAGTCTATATTTTGTTTTATACATGAACTGTAGAACAAGATGGATATTAAGTTTGAAAATATTCAAAGCACCTTCTTCTGTTGCTTCAATCCATTTGAATACGAAGATACTTATCTTCATTATCAACTGGCAAACAAAGAACTTTTTATTAATTCTTTGATTAACAGCAATTTCATAGTGAGAAGACGATGTGGAACAGTACTTAAATTTCAAACTCACTCTGTTTCCACAAACTTTGTTCAAAAATAATTCCATGCGTAAACCTGATCTTACGTAACTACTTCTAACAGAGAAAAAATTGTTCAATAGAAGAAACTTTAAATTGTAATCTAATTTTTGATGGAGACCAAAAAATAGATACAATTTAAAGCCTTCCTACATCGTGTGCACTAGGTAAAAAAACAAACAAAGTTTATCATAATGCTATATGCATATACTTGGCAGAGGGAAAGCAATCTTCCTAAATTCCTTTATGAAGTCAGAAAGTGTTAGGGAGATTTCCAAAACGTTTATAAACTAATTGGAAACAGACAACGAAATTGCTGAACTCTCGATTCAACTGTTCAAAGAATTATACAAAAGACATCAAGAGAGTTTATTATACAAATTATCAAGAGAGTTTATTATACAAATTTTAGGTTAATTTTCAAACTATGCTTTAACTTTGTAAAGATGGAGAAAGTATAATATGAATTAAATATAATAACTAACTCAAATATTCGAACTGTTCCATGTGGCTTTGCAAATGCTTATTCTGCTAAGGTGGCATCCATTAAGTACGCAGTAAAACCACTTATTTAGAACCAACCCGTCTCTTCCTTATACACACCTGTGTGCTTTCAACGCTCCCCCCCCCCCCCTCATCTTAGCATACGTACGCATTATTTATACATCTTTGCGTACAAACGCATAAACTGTTAAAAACATTAAAAATAAAAAACTTAGTTAATTTGACAAATCTCTGTTACATAACATATTTATTCTTTAAACTCGTGAAAATGCTTTTGTTACAATATTAGGTTTTAGGAGAGAGAGAGAGAATAAGATATACTCAATCCGCGTATGTACTCGCTTCTTTAACACTCCTTCCTTGTACCCATTTGTATGTTTTTGCGTAACCTCCCTCCCTCCATACCTCCATACAGAAGAACCGTAAGTAAAAATAAGCTATTGCTAATCTACTTTCACTTTTGTTCATTATAATTATTTGAAAATTTAAACAAACCTCAATTTTCTACAAACATCAAGTATTTGAAATATCTCATCAAGTATTTAAAATATCTTTAAAATATCTTGTCACAATAAGAAGCCAACTCCCTCTGATTGCTTGCAGGGGGCATCTGAGCTTGAAAAGGATCTCACTTCTGCTACAGCATGGGGCTCGCAGTGGCTGGTGAACTTTAATTCAGATAAAACTCAATTTTTTTCGGCCAATCGTTATCGCAATAATTTAGACCTTCCTATATTTATGAACGGTAATGTACTCGATGAGTCTCCTACCCTTTATCTTCTAGGATTAACTCTTACTTCTGATCTTTCTAGGAAACCTTATATCAAATCCGTTGCAAAATTAGCATCTGCTAAAGTTGCTTCTCTTTATCGAGCTCGTCACTTTCTTACTCTGGATTCTATTCTCTATCTCTATAAATCTCAAATCCGGCCTTGTATGGAATACTGTTGCCATATCTGGGGCGGATCTTCTAATGATGCCCTTTCTCTTTTAGACAAGGTGCAAAAATGCATTGTAAACATAGTTGGACCTGCTCTTGCAGCCAACCTTCAACCTCTGTCACATCGCCGTAATGTTGCTTTTCTTTCTCTTTTCTACAAATACTATAATGGGCACTGCTCGAAAGAGCTAGCGTCTCTTGTGCCATCTACTAAAATTCATTCTCGTGTTACTCGTCATTCAATTAAGTCTCATCCTTTTTCTGTTACTGTTCCTAAGTGCTCCAAAAACTCTTATTCATCTAGTTTTTTTCCTCGAACATCAGTTCTTTGGAATTCGCTTCCTTCATCTTGCTTTCCTGATTCAAATAATTTGCAATATTTTAAGTCGTCTGTCAATCGTTATCTTCCTCTACAATCTTCATCTTTTCTCTTCCAGTAACTTCCAACACTAATTAGTGGTTGCTTGCAACCTTGTTGGAAGCGAAGATAATTTAAAAAAAAAAAAAAAAATCTCAAAGCAATGTGCAAAGGTATTGTTATTGAGTTCATCTGCATGCAAATGTGACCTTGTCACATTTTTTCATATTTAATTTTAAATGCCATAATCCATAATAGTAAATATAATCTATATACATTGTCTGAGTTCTTGTTTAGATTACGTTTCAAGATAATTTGTAGCCAATAACCATGGTAAATAGCTCAAAAATTTCGCTGTAAAGGATGAAACCTCTAATATAGAGGGGACTTTCAGCTAAATATTTTGTTTATTAACCGCATCACTTCAAAATTACTTCATGTTATGTATTATTGCCGAGATAAGCAATAATACATAGCGTGATATATATATTTTTTTCTTTTCCAGTAGATAGCATTTAATACCTATGAGAAATATGAATTTCTTACTTGGGTGACCAAATATGGTTAAATTTGAAAAGTATGAATAAAACTCAAATAAAACACATAATATCTTAAAATCTTTATTAATAATAATAAAGCTAATTTATTAACATAATGAGGTAGAATTGTAAAATATTTACTAACTATAGACAAATAGAAACAAGCAATGACAAATTGACACACGACAATAGTTGACAAGTGTCAATTTGCATTAATTGCAAATATATTAACTAAATTCATTTTATAAAAAAAAACTTAAAAATTTAAAATGATATTAATGATTAAAAAAAACAATTTAAAAAAATCGATTAGGTAGCAAGTGCTGCTTGATTAGCTTTTACCAACTGATTCGGTGATTCATTTCCATCTTTTTCGCCACAACAAGTACGCTCAGCGCAGTCCTCTTTACATTCAAGAATGCAAGAAGTGTTGATATTAGGTCCGTGAAGAAACTCTGGCTGTATAGTTGTCGAATGAATACCTGAAAATATAGTAAAACGGCTAAAAGTTTTACTCTATAATTGATTTTTAGCATTTTGCATCATTCATAATAGTAAGAAACAAACCTTCATTGTGGAAGAACTCTTTCAATTGGTTAGCAATTGTCATATAATCATCCAATGTATTACATTGAACATGAGCGGAAGCGATAATTTTGTTTCCTGCCAGCTGCCAAATATGAAACTCATGTATACTAAGAACTTGAGGCACCTGCTCAACAATGCGCTCCTGTATTTCTTGAATTTTTATGTGTGTTGGAACTGTCTGCATAAGAATCAAGGAAGACTCCTTCAATAAGGGAATGGAAGTTTTCAAAATAATCATCTAAAATATATTTACTAAATAGATAATACATCAAGATTATATATAAAATTTTATTTAACAACATACTTGAATTTTAATAAAAATCACCAAGGTAACTTACCACCATAATAATACTCATGCCCGGATCAACATAGTTTGTCCATTTTCCATTTACATAAATGATGATCAATGCACTGACCATGACAATTACCGATCCTAGTGCGTCTCCAAGTACATGCAAATAAACACCACGCATATTTAACTGTGATGCTCCAGTTAGTTTCTTTTCAGCTGATACTGTTTGAAAATTCATTTGAACAACTTCAGTATCTGCGGTAATACCATTTTTTAGGTCGATTAGTGGTATATCAGAAAAGTTTTCATTTACTTTATTATTTAACAAATTTTTTTCTGGAGACTCATGTGAATGCCCATGAGTAGCAGTTTTCTTGGAGGGTTTATGGTCATGTGAGTGCCCATGTCCGCCGTGTGAATGTCCGTGTCCATGTTGATGAAAAAGCATAAGTCCAACTAAATTAACAACTAAACCAAGACCTCCAACAAGAAGAACAAGTTTTGGGTTTTCAATAGGCTCTGAAATAACAATTCGTTTAAATGACTCAACAAGAATGGAAAAACAAAGAGCAACAAGAAATACAGCATTAACTAATGCCCCCAACACTTCAGCTCGAACCCAACCAAATGTATATCGACTTGTAGTTTGACCACGCTTAGAATAGCGCAAAGCCACATAACCAACTAAAAGAGATACTACATCTGACAACATATGGAATGAATCAGCAACTAAGGCCATAGAATTAGTAAGGTACCCTACAACTATTTCTACAATAAAGAATGTGGTTGTTAGCATCATCATTGAAACAAAAGAAACCTTTTGACTTAATTGACAGCATCTCATCTTCCCCATTTCGCAGAAAAATAATTAGTCAAAGATGATTTCTTTGTTGAACTTTTTTTCTTTGTTGCTAGCATGCGTTCTAAAAAAGCCAAAATTTTTTTATTTCTTATCTTTTTTAGCCAAGTTAAATTTTTAACATAAAGTCCATATTTAAGATTTTTAATAAACAAAGAAGTACAAACTAGTTATTTACACTTTAAAGTAATTCACTAAGTAACAACATATTAAAAATTGAATTCATTGACTCATCCCTTAAACATGTATAACTGACTACTAATGTATATAAGATAAATAAATAAATAATGTTTGATGTTATATTTCAGGTTATATTTAAGCATTATTTGCTTTAATGCAGTCATCATTAAACTTGTTAAAACTTTTTTTTAAACTACTGATGGCCTTTTAATGATGGCCCTTTAACAATATAAAGATTTCTTTAATAATTAAAAATCCAAAATTACTTTTATAAGAAATTTGAAAAACCAACTTTTTTTAATCAAGGCTTCTTGGCTTAGGACCAAAAATTTTTTATAAACCAAAGATTACACCACTGTTTAGTAAGCCACTGTTAAGTAACAGACTCTAATAGTAATGCTCCTCAAATGTGAATTATAAACTACAAATGCAAACTAAAATGCATTTTCTAAACAAAATGCATTTTCAGAACAAAATTATCTATTACCAGAACAAAACTATCAAAAATAAATTTCAGAACAAAAATAAGATTAAAAAATGCAAGCTACAGTATAATTGCAGATACAATATAATACATAACTAACTACTACCATAAATAACTACAAATATAAACTATTGCAATAATTTTTATTATTTATTTATATGTTTAATTCATTTATAAAATTTTTTTTCTATAAACCATTTTACAGGATTTTATCCCTCAATAGTCAGATTTATAAGTATCACATATCTATAATTATGTCACAAAAAAAAGCATGAAGAAATAACAGTAGAATAATAAACCTATGTTCAGCTTTAAAGGTAGATTTAATTACTAAAGATAATGCTGCTAACATAGTAGCTGAAATAGAAGAGTAATGTTGCAATTTTTTGACATGTTATTATGCATCTTGCAACTTATGTTTAAAAACAATGTTTTTACCCAAATAAATACAAAATAAAAACAACTTGAGAAACTTGGTAAAACTTGTATCTTGGTAAATTTAAATACTATCATATTAATATTAATAATTATTATTGCTTATTTATATATATTATATATATATATATATATATATATATATATATATATATATATATATATATATATATATATATATATAATATATATATAATATTTATAATTCTTTTCATTCTTTTTAACTCTCGTTGTTTTTTGCAAAACTTAACCTGGTTGTTTTCTGTGGTACTAGAAGCTGTTTTCTGTGGTACTAGTGGTTGTTTGCAACCTTGTTAGGAGCGAATTTGTTTTGCTTTTGCTTCTATTGAAAAAAGAAAATATTTCCAATGAAACTATTCTTGTTCATAGCTTTTATCAAAGTGATGATCACACACATTATGTATAGAGTAATATATTTATATTGATTAACTTAAATTAAACTGATATTGATTAATTTAAATTAACTTTATGTAGCATTCCAAGTAACAACACAAAAACTCTTTTATTTAACTGTCAGATTTTTTAAGTTTTTTAGCCTTTGCCCAAGATGGTGTTATAAACACTATGAATGCCAGATGACCACAAACTCATCTGGCATTCATAGTGTTTTTGTCTGAGTGCAGAGTGCATGTCACATCGATGTCAGTTATGTCCTGGTATTACTTCTTTAAAAGTGTTCTTAACAGTAATTTTTGACAATGACAATAAAGAAAGAACAAAAACATACAGGTAGTATTGATCAACCATAAAAATAAATATTGAAGACTTTATAAAACTTATATACAATCAAATAAACTAACTTCATTCATTCATATTACATTCACTTATAGATGAAAGTCAAGTCAAGTATCTTAAAGACTATAAGTTGTGAATGAGTTATTAGACTTGTGATAAGCGGCACAGTCAAAACCAGTTTAAAAAGGACAGCTATTGCATACGAGTTTAGATTTGTTTTAAAATTCAATACAATTCTGGCATCCTCTCTACAGTATTTTATGATATCATTGGTAACATTGTGTCTACAAGAATGTGGCATCATTGCAATAAGGTGGATACAATTGCTTTCTGCAAAATTAAGAGAAATATTAAAAAAAGTTTGATATCGCAAATTCCTTTATATATTTTAAATAAAAACCTATTTCAAGAATACTTCTAACATTTTTTAAAAACATAATTTAAATCGCCATAACCTTGCTAACCTGAAACTTATTTAGATAAATAAACTTCTCAAAAAACACAAACCAAAACAAATTAGAGCTTAAACTAACCAATATCTAAAAGAGAGCAAATATCAGTCTGCAATAGCCTCTCTTACTAAAAAAATGAATTAAGAAGAGTAAAAGTAAAACAATTAAATCGAAAGGTCTGTAATGTTGCTGCAATAGACACTCTGAATTGTTCCAAATATAATTAGTCTTGATATTGACAGTTTGTTAAAACTGTGATTCAAAAAATGAGATTTAAAACTAAAAGCTTTGAATCTCATTTTTTTGCATAAGTATTTAATATTAGATTTAATAACAATTCAATTTAGGTATCCAATAAATTACCAATACTTTAAGGGAAGGGTTTTTTAATAAATTGTTTATATTTTTATATATAAGGAAACTATTATAGTAGTAAAAATAAAGCAAGATGAAAATAACTATAAATATAAATCGATTGTCTACAACAGAGAAATATAATGCTATAATTTATGATAAAAAATTAGTTAGTCTAAAATTTTCAAAATCTTTTATTTAACATTCAACATGTACAAATATACATATCAAATGTTAAATAAAAAATATTATTGAAATTTCATGACATAAAATTTATGTCAGTATTTAAACTATGATACATATTAATGATAAATATGTATCATAGTTTAAATACTGCAACAAGAATATATTATTTGTAAAATTGTTAAAAATATTTAAAACACAATAAAAGTATAAATTTAAAAAATAAATTATAAAATTACCACTCACTTAAACACTAGATAGAAATAATATTTTAGATTTAAGCCATCAACATATGCTTATATTAGTAATGTATCCACTCCTTTTTTTGACTATTTTATTGAGTACTGAGTACTTTTATATTAATCTTCAATTACTCTACTTTTTAAAAGTTTTTTAATAATAGCGGAAATAATTTTCAATTAAAAAAAAAAAATTGGCAATAAATAAGTCACATTAATAGCTGCAACTATCATAACAAGTTAAGGATAAAGCGAAAAGCAAAGGAAGCTTATTCGAAGTCAGAAAAACCATTTTAACTATTAAATCATAAACATTGTCTGGGCACTAGAGAGGTTTGCAGTCGCCAAATTCGAAGTTAAGTGAATCCGATGTTTTTATAAATCGTCGCCGACGGTTACATTTTGCTTTCTTATTTCCTATTAATAATTTGTCGAAATGTTAATTTACTGTATAAGAATATTTATAATTAACAGGTATTTTTATAAGTTGCCTGAAGAGGAAAAGCAGTGTGCGTGTAAAAACTGTGTGCATGTTTGTGTGTGTTCTTGTGGTTAATTAATTGTTGTGTGACCAAGTTAAAGTCCATTAATTATACCAACATTTTTTTACCTTTTCCTCCCCCTTGTCAAGAACTTATCAAGCTTCCAGAGACCCCGCCCGCTCCTCTTCTATAAAATTACACCGACATTTGATTACACCTCTCCCCAATAAAATTAAAGCGGAAAAAAAAAAAAATTTTATTATTTTTATTCTTTTTTAAGCAGTTAAACTTATTTAAAAAATGACGTCAAATTTCACCTCCCCCTTGTCAACAGTTGTCAAAAATTTTTAGACACTCCCTCTACTTTGTTGTTAATGGACAGCCCCTTAATTACAACTACATACACAAATTAAATGGAAATAAAAATTTTATACAAGCTAGTTTTGAAAATAATTTTATACCAATTTGGCATAAAAAAGGGTTCCTTTTCGAAAACACAATTTTTGAAAGTTTTCTATTAAAATGTTATCGATAAAAAACTTTTCTGATTTTGTAAAAACTTTCGAAAACTATCGAATAGCTAACATAATTTTGAAAACTTAAATTTAATTTTGAAAACTCATTTTAATTTCGAAAAAATATGAATTTCGAAAAGTTAAATAAACTTCGAAAAAAAAAATGAGTTTCGAAAAGTGGAATGTCTATTTGCGCATTTACCGAAGGCGCTTTGAATTTGCGCATTTAGTGAACATTTAGTGTTTATAAAAACTTTTAGTAGCGCGGACGCCTACAAAATCAAGGTTAAATTAGTGATAGAACTTTTATTTCCTTTTAGTAAAAAAATCGTTTTTAAAAGTATAAATATTAAATATATTTACAATTAAAATTAAATTATTAAAAAATAATAATAATAACTAAATTGTATTTAAAACTAAATTATATAAAGTTGATTTTAAAAGTGCGTATTTTTACAAATAAAAGTAATTAACATGAGTAATTAACATAAAAAAGTTACTCATAAATGGAAATTATTTGCCAAAGTAAGTCATAAAAAAGTTATTCAGATGTTACTAATACAAATAATTTTTATTTTTTAATTTTAATACATCTTATCATCGTTATTTTTTTCATATGGTTTGTAACTACCGTGTTCTCCTGCGATTGTTAAATGATTTTGTTTTTAAAATATTTTTCATTACCGTAAAAACTTTATCATTGCAATCAGTGACAGATCCAGGATTTTTTTGTGTTTGAGATAGAGCTAACTTCCAGACATGGAGCGAACTCCAAACATTTGTATGTTTATACTTATGTCAAATAAAAAAGCTTTGCAAAAAATTGCGATGATTGGAGGCTAAGGACGAAAAAACCATATAACTTCATTCCAACCCTTACCCCTTTACCCCCCCCCCCCCCACGCCACTCTAAACATGAAAGGCACCAAGTTGATAAAATATTTTTTGTACTATTTTCAACTAGACTTACATTCCTTGATAAATTTTAAGTTTCATCGAATTATCTCTCTGCGTTCAAAAATTGTGACTATATAAAATTTGTAATCCCCTCAAATTTAGGGGATTACAAATGAGAATTGTTTTGTCCTAATAAAAGTTTGGGCAAAACAATTCAATTGTAAACTCATATTAGGGGCGCCAAAATTTTTATTTTAAACTATTGATTTTATATGTATTTGATTATGCTCTTCAATGAAAAAATAATGACAGCAAAAAGTAGTAGTTAGTTGATTATTTGAAAGAATAAGTTTGTGAGTCATCATGGCGGAAAAAAGAGAAACCTTTGGGCTTCTTTTATAGAAAACGCAAATCAGATATGAGAAAGAGGATAAAAAACAAGCAAATACATTGATTAAATTTTCTATAGATTGGAAGAACAAGATCCAAACAATAATCAGCATCAATTGCAGGTAAGATATGATAGAAGAGTGAATTTATTACAATTTACTTTGTTAACAAATACAAAACTATAATAAGTTAAAAAGATATTAGGTTGCCCTTTGTTTAAGCCTTAATAACCATTGTTTTCTATTTTTCTAATATTTTTTTTTGATGTTGGGTGATGGTTGAACTTTTAACCATAATTAAAATCATAACAAACAAAGAATATAACAATTTGTACTCTAAGTGCAAAAGACATCAGGAGAAAATTCACAGCCTCAAAATTTAAAAGACATTCTTTGAAGTTGAAGCCAAATCTTTTTCTGTACAAAAGCACTTTAATTTAGTAGTTGCAGTTGTTTTAGTTTCATTTATTTTGCCGTTAAAAATATATACAATGTACAAATATAACAATAGGAAATGGCTGGAGCAAGTAGAAAGCATAATAAGCCTTATCACCGAGCCCCATTACAAACGGATTTAACAAGTCCGTAAAATATTAAAACATATATATAATAAGAAGTTAAGAAATAAAAAGGTAGAAAAAAATTAAAAGTAAAGTTAGTTAAGAAAGAAACAAAATGTATAAATATATACGTGTATATACATACATATACGTGTATATACATACACAAACATACATACTAACACATATACACATACATATACATATATAGATATTGCCTCGTATTGACGTTTTTATAATAAAATGAATAAAATTCCATTTACAACAACATAAAATATATAAAAGTTTCAAAAACAAAATAAATGTGTAATAATTTACAAATAGATATATGCATATTTAAAGTAAATAAAAAGTATATATATTTTCAATAAATATAATATTTATAATAAATATTTTTCAAAAAAGTATGATAAAGACACTGATATTCTAAATAATACAATAGTTGATTTTCTTCTTATTTTTAGTTTTTAGTAGTTAACATGTTAAAGTTGATAAAGTTAATGTAACGTTATAAATTTAGTTTGATAACTTCTAAAAGACTGGCAATATTTAGAATATTAAAATCCGTATTTACTATAATTATATTTTAAATTAGCTTTGAATTGCCGAAATGTTTGTTCTGTATTATGAACAATCTGTTAAAAATTTTTCCATAAAAAAAGGTCCTCGAAACTGAATAGAATAAGATCATCACTTAAGATTATATTTTGGAGTTACAAAATTGAATTTGGAGAATCTGGTGGGGTATTTGTGGCTTATTTTACTAAAATATTGATTAAATATAGTTTGAGACAGTTCGTGCTTTATTTTATTCATGAATTGTAAGACTAAATATATATTTATTTTGAAAACGTTTAATGATCCAAGCTTACTTAGAAGTGGCTCGCAAGGCGCATTTTTTGTTGCTCCAAATACAATTTGCGAGCATGTTTTTGTTTTGAATAAATTTTTTTCAACTTTGTGTAATTGGTGCTTGCCCATACAATATTTCCGTTAGTTAAATAACTATGTCTAAAAGAAAAATATAAATTTTTTAAAGACCTAATGTTTAAGAATGGGTTTACATTATTCCTATATTTCTTGAAAGTTTTCTTTCCTTATATGAGAATGTGCTTATATGGGTCTTCTAAGATAAATTTAACACCTAAGAAGTTTATAGATGTTTGTCTAGTAATATTAATTTTATTTATTTTCAGATCAGGTAATTTTAGAGGAAGATTATCTGTTTTATTTTGTTTATGAAATAGTATATACTTAGTTTTTGTAACGTTAAGTTTATTAAATATAAACCATTCGTTTATTTTGTTTAACTCTTCATTAATTACTTTAAAAAGCGTTTTAATATCCCTATGTGAATAAAACAGATTGGAGTCATCCGCAAATAAAATAAAATATAATAAGTTTGATGTAAAAGATAAATCATTTATAAAAAGTGAAAATAATAGCGGTCCTAAAATCGATCCTCGAAGATCCTTGAGGAATTTACAACCAAGTACCAGTAAAAGTACATGAATTTCAATTTTATTTAAGATATGGTCTTTTCTTGAAAATATAAAATGTATAAAAATACAATACAAAATCTTGTTTTAAAACAAAAACTTTAGTTTTAACTCTTCTTTTTGTATTGTACAGTTCCTTGGTACTCGAGGATGAGCTTTTTGTGAAACAGTTTTTAAAGAAATAGTGAAAAAATTTTAAATTTTCTTGAACACATTCCAAAATTTGTTCTTTCTGAAAATCTTTGTTGCGTAATCATGTACATTTTTGAAGCAAAAAAGTTCAAAATGAGTTTATTAGTTTCCTTTCCTGTAAAGTTATTGAGTTTAACTTGTGTAAACTGCAGAAAGCTTTGTATTGTTCTATAAATCTTGAATGAGCTCCTGACGTAATTTGTAAAAAACAAAAGTTACATGTAGTTTGGTTTGTGTATGCAGTTGCAGGAGAAGAAGTAAAGGTTAGGGGACATTTTCTTGGATATGTTCAGGTCTTAGAAACATCTGGGCAAGGGTTGACAGCTTGCTTGTTAGACGAGCTTTTAAAAAAAGGAACATACTTAAAAAATATGCATAGCAAAAGTTTGATAATGAATTGAACATGAAAAAAGAACGTAGGCATACAAAAAAGGATTCTTGCCGTAACCCACGAGCTTTTTTTGTTTCTTGTGAAAGCGATGCAGTAAAACTTGTTGTCAATGATGCAGCCTTTTCCTGCACTATAGCTGTTAACTTTTTTAGCAATATTCAGGAGATTTATTATTTTTTTCCTAGATCGACCCATAAAGTGCATTAACAAATTGTAAACAATTTGAATATTAATCCTCTAATTAAAAGCCGTTGGGAGAGCAGGATAGACGTTCTTAATTCTTTGCGATACTGATGAGGTTTATGACGCTGTCTAATTAAAAGATTGTAAGTTGATACTTCTGAAAAATGTACCGCAATAGGAATTGCCAAGAAAATTACAGATTTCAAATTCTTCTGCTATTTGGTCTGTATGTGTCGTTCAAATTTAATTTAGCAAACAAAGCACTTAAGATGAAAACTGTTAATCTACAGAACGCTTTGAAACAAATTGAAAGTGTCAAGAATTTTTTGGAGAACATGATATCGGAAAATGGGCTGTATAGTGTTATTATAGATGCCATGGAACTGGTCGATAAACTGGATATCAATCCAGGGCCGTCCCGAAGAGATCTTAAAGAAACATTTGCTGACTGCCAGCTATAGATTCAATTTTTCTAACTCTATTGTCCAATTTGTTGACAAATAAATTTCGTAGGGGTGCTAGACATGCTCCCCTACTCTCCCATTCAAGACGCCTCTGTTTTAATCAAAAGTTCTCTGATGAAGTTGTGGTCAAGCCTAGAAAAAAAAAAAAATTTTACTATGAAGATGAATCTGTGAAGTCGGACACTACAATTAATGAAAGATTTGAACAGATGAAAAATCGCAGAAAACATTTCGAATTCCTCTATAACATAAAAAATAAAAAATGTGAAATAAATGCAGTTAAAAAATACAATTAAAAAAATAAATAAAGAAAATAAAACTTTATACCTTATTGGAGACATAAACCTTGATGCTCTAACTTATTCAAAATTTCCAAAAATAAAATCTTTTTTTGATATGCATCTTAAATTTAATGTCTTGTCAGCAATTAATAAGCCAACGCGAGTGTTAAAAACTTTGGCAACGGCAATCGACAATATTTTCATTAATAATTACCTGGAAATGGTCTTGAAACAGAGATATTTATAACTGATATTAGCGATTACTTTCCGATATTTTTAAAAGTAAGAAATTTAAAATCCATGTCTGATTGTGAACCAAAAGTTATAAATTTGAAAAAACCCAATCTTAAAACAAGTAATACTAATGAATTATCAATTAGACTAAAGCAAGAACGTGGTCCAACACGTATAGATGTCAGGAAACTAATGAAAATTCCAATAACTTTTTAGATATATTCTTAGATTGCTTTAACAAAACCTGTTCTCAAGAGGACATACAAGTTAAGACAAAAGTAGTTGCTAATACGTGGATGGATAAAACACTGATAAAATGATCCAAAATGAAGCAAAAACTCTATAATAAATTTCTAAAGAATAAAAACACTGATTATGAGATAAATTACAAACACTATCAATACTTTTATCAAAATCTTATTAATAAAAAAGCTAAAAATAAATACTACAGTAATGAAATCATTAAATGCAAATCTAAAAGTAAGAAAACGTGGTCCATCATTAATGAGATAATGAGAAGGAAAAGAATAAATTCAACTTTTTTACCAAAAAAAATTAATATTAACAATACAGACATATTCTCTAAAAAACAAATATCCGAAACATTTAACAAATATTTTATAAATATTGGTCCGAATCTTGCTAATAAAATAAGTCCAACAGCTGACTCATTTAAAAACTACCTAAAACTCACAAATAACGCTATCATGTACGATAAGGAATTCAACTATAAAGAATTTGAAGAAGCCTTTTCCTCTTTAAAAAACAAGAAAGCACCAGGATTTGATGGAATAACTAGTGATTTAGTTATCTTTAATAAAACTAGTCTAAGCAGACCTCTGATCCATATACTTAAGCTCTCATTAACATCTGGGATTTTTCCTGATGTCCTTAAATTAGCAAAAGTAATCCCCATGTATAAATGTAATGAACATTTGGACATAACCAACTATAGACCTATATCAATACTTCCTGTATTTTCAAAACTCTTTGAACGTGTAATTTATAATAGAATCTATAATCACTTCACTAAAAACAAGTTATTTTACCCAAAATAGTTTGGATTTTAAAAAAACCCTTCAATAGAGCATGCAATCATTGAAATAGTTAATCAAATAGTGATGGCTTTAAAGAAAACAAATTTACTTTAGGAGTTTTTATAGACTTATCAAAAGCTTTTGATACAGTTTACCACTCCATCTTATTAGATAAATTATGGTATAATTAATAAAACTTACAATTGGATTAAAAGTTATCTTACCAATAGCCATCAAAACTTTAATAAATATACTGAATATAGCATTGCATATCGAGGACCAAATATATGGAATGGTTATCAAAAAGGATTTAAATACATGGAAAAGTTATTAAGTTCATTTAAGTTTCTAATAAAAAAAAAAAAATTTTAAATTTGAGAATCTTTTGTGCTTAAAGGAATCACCAAGGAATTTTATTTATTTTCTAATTTTTTTATATTTTATCTTTATTTGGTTTACTGATCAGCGCAGCAGTTTTTTGCCCATTAGGGGTTTTAAATTTAATACCTATATTGTATGGAAAGTGTATATAGGGGCTCTATGAAAAGATTGCAATGACATATTGTCATCTTCATCTTCTTTGAGCCTCCTCTTTATTTTATAAAGATCATTGTAAAAAAAAAAGTGTAAATTTTATACTGTATATACAAAATAGGTGATTGTTGACAAGATTTTACTGACTTCTTTGTTTTCGGACATATTTTTTCTTTCTTGTATATATATTTGTTTGATTAATTATTGTTAAACAGCAAAATAAATCTAAAAATATAAAAAAAAAGAAAAGTTGCACTTCGTTTTAACAGCTGATGGCAAGAGTGACGTCAACAGGAATGAACTGTTGGGTGAAATTATAAACCAATGTTGCCAAAAGATAGCTGTCCCAAAACAACATTGTCAACATTTTCAAAACTGTTATAATGACATCATTCCTGATGTGTGCGTAGTATTGAAAATTTTGCTTCTACTCCCGGTATCAGCGGAGAAAAGAGTTTTTCTAAATTAACAATTTTTAGGAAAGAATTTTGTTAATAACACTTATTCTATTTCTATTTAAAAACATGTAAAAATATAAACTCTCAAAACATTTTTAAAAATATTTTTAAAGGATACACTTTTTTATAAAAGGGGGCGTCCAACCATGTTCTCGCATATTCAAAAACAAGTCCTTGAACCGGCCCTGTATATATATATATATATATATATATATATATATATATATATATATATATATATATATATATATATATATATATATATATATATATATATATATATATATATATATATATATATATATATATATATATATATATATATATAAGTAAAAAAAATTAGTCAACAAAATAAACAATAAACGAAATATTTTCTACTTTTAATTTTACAAAAATTACATAAATTATAAATTTTAATATTTTAGCACTAGAGGCCTTTCAAAAAATCATCAGAAGTGATTTTTTGAAAGGCCTCTAGTGCTAAAATATTAAAATTTATAATTAGAGTAATTTTTTTTTAATTAAAAGAAGAAAATATTTCGTTTATTGTTTATTTTGTTGACTATATAATATATACATATATATAATATATACATATATATAATATATACATATATATAGTATATACACATATATATGCATATATAAATCATATACAAGCATTTTCACCATTTTTTATACTTGATCAAATAAGAAACTGAGTTCTATCAAATAAATATATTTAGAAAAAAACGCATTTATATAACACATACATTAAATAACATACAATTTATAGCAAAAGTTTCGTAATAATTTAGCTTTGCGTAATATAATTTAGCCGGCGCAGTATAATTTAGCATGCAAGTAACAAATAACTTATTGTGTAACATGTATTTTATGCACATTTAAATATAAAACCTCCATTTACACAGAATCATGTTTGACCCTGATCGCTTGGATGGACAATCGGTGTCTCTTGATCCTCAACAAATACATTTTCAACTTCATTTAAATTGAATTTCGTCCTATATGGACTATTTCTCTCCCCGCCACGAACGAAATTATTTTCTAAAGTATGTCTAGATATTTTGTTAGAAGTAATATCGCGATGATCGTTGGAGTATTTAAAATCTATGAGAGATAATTTACCGTACGCAGTTTTTCGATTATATATTTCTTGAAAATGCATTGTTTTAGCTCGATCTTCATGACTGTTTGAGTTTGGAGAGCTGCTTGCTGGCGGAAAATAATCACCATAGCTTACGCTAGGTTTGTCTCTAAAAAGTATTTGATGTGATTTAGCATTGTCAGAACAAGATGGTGAAAGATTTTGCTTCATATTATCAGAATCAAAAAATCTTGGAGATGATGATATATTGGAATGTGTTTTTTCGTTTAAAAAGATGGAATCGTTTTTATTTTGCTTACTAAAATTTGGAGATGAATTGTATCTTGTTCTTATTTCCCGTTCATCTAACAAACTGTGTCGTTGATAAAAATCATCAAATTGCCGATTTTCTGTGCTTCTTGCTTTAGTGAATTGCTTTCTTTCACAGTTTATCGAATCGTACGAACACTTGTCTTTGTTATATGTTCTTTGACGAGATGTAAACAAAACATCGTCATTGATTTCTGTAGAATTTCTAAAAGAATAACCGTTATTAGAAGTATCATTTTTTTCAAGATTTCCATAACGACGATCGTCTAAATATTTTGCATCATCTTCATAACCTCTTTTTTGTCTTTGATATGGAGAAGCGCTACTTAATCTAGAATCTTCTTCAGTTTTGAATCTTGGATCTGTTGTGGAACTTCCAGACTCTCCTTTAGAAGGTGATACACAAACAATATCTGTATCATCGTGTTCTTTATGAATACTGGAATACGGAGAATGAGAAAAAGTTTCATGCGGTTGATTAGATTGGTATATTGCGCTATAAACAAATTGCTTCACTATTTTAAATTTAAATAAAACATAATTCAAAATAACTTTAGATATTATGTACTAAACTCACTTACCCCAATTTTATAGAGCTAGAAACACGCATCGAAGGTTTTGTATTTAATCTTCCAAGAACTCTGCCACCATTTTTTTCTGTTTCACTAAGTGCCATTGCGATAGCCACCTCTAATGGCGGCAACACAGTGTCACTACCTGTTGTCTTTCTACGTCTTTTTCTTATTGGCTCATCAATGCTGACATAATGAGAGTCTTTGCAATGCTTGCGTAAGTTGTCTGCTCGTATAAATTGGGCTTTACACAAATGACATTTGAACGGTTTTTCTCCTGTATGCCGTGTGAGATGTCGTTGTAAATCGATTTGCTGAGTAAATCCTCTCCCGCACACTGTGCACCTTAATTTAGAGAGAAATATTATTTACTCAACATTTTCAACGTCTTAAATTTAACAATTACAATATACTGCACTCACTTATATGGTTTAATTCCTGTATGAACTAAAACATGACGTTGCAGTTTGCTTTTAAAAGGAAAAACTTTAGCACATAAAGGACAACGATAGACTTGCTTTGCGTGTTTCCATGAAGGTTCGCCTGACTGGGATGAATCAGCTTTATCGCACATTGAAAGAGCTAAAGATGCGGATATGTTACTTTTTTTCTGATCGAGTTGAAGTAGCACAGACAAAATAATACCTCATGGATATGTATATATTTATATATGTTTGTTTTTATTTTGAATAATTAATTAGTTACTTTTAATACTCTATAATATCTATGGTAACAGACCTTTATATGATTCATCAAAGTCTTCGTTGCTATGGACACTACCTTCTTCTATCGTCGTCGGACTTACAGCTTCTTTTTCTTTTATATCTCTAATAGAAACAAACTATATTACATAAATAAAGCCAGATTTACAAAAGTAATATTGAGTTTAAACTATTTAAAGATTAAATTTAAATTCAATTCAAATTTATTTGCAAAATGATGAATTATAAATTAGGCTGTTAACAGGTTAGATATATACCCAGGACCCGGGTAAATCTTGTTATTAAATAAATGTTGACTTTATATGTGCGCGATTTATCAAAATAGCGTCCCAAGACCTTATTTTGGCATTTGAAGAACTAGTAGGTCTGACCCATATTCTTATTAAACTAAAAAGATCCAAAACCCCTAGAATTATCCACCCTTAATAAATTGGACATGTTTATTGAGTTTTAGAATAATCAAAAATACTTAATTTAGTTATAAGTACAAAACAAAGAGTAATCGACTATGCAACATTTTGTTGTGACATCCTCGCCAACGCCTTACAGCTGGGTAAATCTGCACAGTAAATCTTTTAAACCCCAAAACATCTATTGTTTTTAACAAGGCTCAATAAAATGTCTGGATTCGAAGCAGGCATATAATTTTTAAATCTTTAAAACAGAACAAAAACTACCCGTTACCCATTATGTTTGCTAGATCTGGGTGTGCTGTCCGTAAAACCAGGTCAAAGGTCAAACCCATTAACAGCTCTAGCTGTAGCCTAATATTAAACATGAAATAAAATATATATTTAAAATTAATGTTTTAGTGTAATGTACATAAAAAAAATACTAACTCAGACATTGACAAAGCCGCATTATGATAACTATTTGAACAATCGTTTTTATTTTTATTTAAAATTTCCTCTTCATCATCTGTATTTTCTTGTTTAAAATACCCGTAGCCTATTAAAGAAGAACTTTTATTTTTTACTGGTTTAATTTCTGAAACAGAGCTTTTATCATCTGCATTAAAAGAACCAACGATAAAGGATTTAGAGTTTTTATTCCCAGATAACGAGCTTGTGGATATTGTATTATCCTTTTCTGTAAACAAGTTACTAGCCGGTTTATTTTTTTGAAAAGATAGTTCAGAGTCATCATCATTTTTTATATCGTCATTTTTTTCCAATTCTTGCTTTTTTCTTAAAAACGTATTATACGAATAATCAAATGGGAGTTTACAGTTCAGAAATGGTTGCTTCGAATTTTTGTTCTCTGTGACCGTACTTGTGGTAATGATAGGAGGTACCCTGGATGGTACTTGATCAAATTGTATGCTGGGATTATCATTATAACTTTTATCTGATTTCTCAAATAAAAGGGATAATTTTAAATCTGTGCTATCAGATTTGTTTTCATCTTTGATTAAGTCTTTTTTGCTTGGATAATTTTCAGTTTTTTGATTGGAGGAATCAATAACACATATTTTTGTACATTTTTGATAAAATTTACTATCACTATTTACATCTTCGCATTCTTTTGCAGGTTTAATACGTCGAACTACTCCTTTACGGTTTTTTCTAAATATAAAATCACTAATAACAAAAATTACATGAAATATAATATCTAAATATAAAATCATTTATAAAAACATTTAAATTAAATGTTTTTTTTTACAAAAAAAAAAAAAAAAACCTTTTAGGTTGTCCATTTTGCATGCTTTTAGCATCAATGTAATGAGGCTGAAAGAAAACAAAAATAAAAGTAAGAAATACGTTACGCATATTCATTATGCTAAACAAAGTTTTGGTCAAAAAAAAATTATTTTGGCTTTAATAATAATCAAAAAGTATATATATATATATATATATATATATATATATATATATATATATATATATATATATATATATATATATATATATAATATATATATATATATATATATATATATATGATTTTTTTAAATATATAAATTTATTTTAATTATAAATATTTCTTCACTTTAAAAAGCTCAAATGAAAATTTTGACTTTTGCTCCGTTAAGCTTAGAGACTTGAAAACAATTATGTCATGCTTACTTGATCTGTATTTTCTTTTTCTTCTTCTTCATTGTCATCTTTTGTATCTGATATAGACGGTGAAGCAGACGTACTACTTTCGTTCCATACGTCATCTAAGTTTTTTTTCTCCCAACAGGCTTTTTGAAGTTTATGAAGAAAATACTTCCGAAGACTATCAAACATTAGTTTACAATGGCCACATTGATGTAAATCTGGTTCTGCACCATTGTCTGCCTCTTCATCTAAATTAAAAAATTCTATTGCAATTGTTAGAACATTTAGTGATGAAAAAAAAAAAAAAAAAAAAAGATTCAATTTGACATAAAAACTCATTATTAAGGGCTTTTTTAGTCTTGCTTAATAAAAAAAAGGTTATAAACACAAGGGGTGTTTAGAATTTGGGTGGGCGATGTAATGCTTAGTGCTATCAGTTGAGCATAGTAGAATACAATCAATAGATTACAATTCTGGGTAGAAAAAAAAAAGTTCCTGCAAAATATTTGAATAAGTAACATAATAATAAAAATAACAATTGAAGATTTCAAAATTTTACCTGAAGATAAGGATAAACAAGCGTTATTTGTTTGTGATACCTAAAGTAAAAAAAAACAAATAAATATTCAAATATATTTAAATTAATAATATATTATCTAAGGTAAGGGATCTACCCTAATTATGTATTTTTTTATTTCTGATTTTTTTTTTAAATCCAAAAAAATTTCTAGCCGGTATTCAACTTTTTACATTTAAATAACGTCGTAGCAGCCTCAGCTATAAAATTAAAAAAAAAATAATGAAAATAAAAAAAACATAATAACCATTATTTGATTTTAAAACTGATTTAAAAAATCAATTTTAAAATAAAATAATAATTAGTATGTTTTACCTTATTTCAATATCTCTTGTTTTTCTTGTTATACGGGATAAGAAACAAAGTTTTATGAATAGAGGTTTTCTCAAGTCTAGAAATTATGTGGTAAAATTATAACTAGTGATAAAATATATATATATATATATATATATATATATATATATATATATATATATATATATATATATATATATATATATATATATATATATATATATATATATATATATATATATATATATCATTTAATCACTAGTTATAATTTTATCACATAATTTCTATTAACGAAAACATTCTTTAGTAAAACCGAACTTTTGCGACGATGATGACGAAGATGACGAAGTGTTACATTGATAGCAATTAAAATTATAATTAGGCGTTGAAATTCGAAGTTTTTTAAATAAACGCATTCAAACTCAGCTTTATACAAAATTCGCTTTCAGCATTATTAAAAAAATTTCTGCAAAAATCGTTAAATACTATAATATATAACATCGAATTTAAATAATTTGTTAAACCTTTTGAATCAAGTTAAATTTCAATTTACTTTATTGTATTAGGCTACTGTTTTTTTGTTTATGTTGCATTTTTATTAACACATTTTGTAATTTATATAAAATATTTCGTTTATATAAAACTTAAATAAAAAGTATATTTGTTTGTAATAGGATAAAGCAGGATTACGCATAATAGTTAAAGTGCTTATCAAAAAATAGCCGTCAGTGGTTATTAGTTTAAACAATCAAAAAATTTCCGTTAAAAATCTGGTCTGCAAAATTAACGATTATATTTTTCAAAGGAAAAACACCAAAAATCTTACTGTGGACTGCAAGCAATCTTATTAGTAAAGACTTTGCTCGTTACTAAAATTATTTTTACTACTACAAAGAAATTTAGACAATAGTATATTCCTCAAGAAAATAGAAAAAGAGCTATCACTACCAGCATATAATTTTTTTGTTTACTTTTACTTATTAAGTGGAGCACTTAATAACTTTGAGTGAAAAAAACATGTTTTTTAAGATATTGACTTAAACACTTTGTAAAAGTTATAGCTCTTTTGATCTGTAATCATGTCCAAATTACAAAGTCTTAAATACTGTAAAAAAAAAAAAAAAAGTCTCTAAAAAATTTCTTTAAAATACAAGCGGAAGAAATTGAATTAAATAAAATTAAATTTACATTAATTTCATTTAATTAACTACGTTGAGAAGTTAAGCATAGGGGTAAGTTAGGTTTATCTTAAAAACTAAGCATCGCATGACAAAACATCTAATAGGTGAAAAGTAAGAAATTAGAATAATAATAACGCAGTGCGCAACAAAAGTTTGTTTGGCGTCAAGTAAGATGCCCCTTATTTGTGGCGAAAATTATATATATATATATATATATATATATATATATATATATATATATATATATATATATATACATATATATATATATATATATATATATATATATATATATATATATATATATATATATATATATATATATATATATATATATATATATATATAATATATATATATATATATATATATATATATATTCACTTAAATATATGAGAGAAGTGTTTTTAGATAACTGACTAAAGAATAGTTTATTTTAAATTTTAAGTGTTGATAGCAATAAAAAAAAATTTTAAACATAATCTAGCTTACTGTGCGCAATGAAGTTAACTTAAGTTATAAAACAGCGAGATTTAATAACAAGATTTTCGTTAAAAAAATTTCTATATCAAAAAAAGTATAACGATATTGCTACGCATTACCCTAAATGTAATGAGCAAAAATAGATTTTTTCCATATCACACTTTTATTCACTTGGATTTTAAAAATATTAAGACTTATTCTAAAAATCAGCGTCACTTTTATAGATTCTTTAAATGTATAAATACAAAAACATTTAAGGAAGAAATATATTTGAAATTATTATTCGTAAAAATATGTGACTTAAAATTAAGGACTATTTTTTACATTATTCAAATAATTTTCAATATTAATTAATTTTTACGAAAACTTTTTCAAGCTATGATCTTCTGTTTAGGTATAAACTTAAGCTAGGCATCAGTGAAAAAAAAATTTCGCCCTGGGACGCCACATAGGCATGGTTAGGCTCTACATATGCGGTTCCGCTTAAGCATTTTAAAAGTTAAACAAGTTATTTTAAATAGATGTTTCATGCAGTTAAAAAACACATTCCAGATTAAAATTGCATTGCTGTTATAAGTCTGTTTCAAGAAATATAGTGCCGTTTTATTCAACGTCATTATTAATATTTAAAACGAGTTAATAAATATCGACAAACTTTGGGAAAAAGACGTGCGTTGGTAAACTTATATTCATCGACTGGCACATTGGGATAAGCGTAAGTAAGTCTAGACACCACGACTAAAGGGGTTTTGGCTAGGTCAAGAAATAGATTTATTATTTAAAAAAATTATCACTTGGAAATTGTATGCTAATACCTTCATTTATAAATAGCTTATGATATGCGACGCATTCAAATTTATTTATTTTTTTATTTGTTATTTCATTACATAAACAACATTTAAAATTAAAATACAAACATGTTAGTTGAAAAAAGCGTTCGCTAAGAACTTTTTTAAAAAATTGATCGAAAGCATCCGAGTTGTTCTTTTCTTTCTTAAAGATTTTATTTTAAAAAACATTTTCGATTACACTAAGCATTTTTAATTCCACATTGGGACAAATGTAGGTTTTAGTGCGCAAGATGGGTCAACAAACAATATATTGCATAAGTTTTAATTCTCATTGTTTTTATTTCAAAAACATTAAAAAGTCTTTAAAATCAATGAGTTAGAACTTATTAAGGTTCTTTACTGATTAGTAGATCCGACTCCCGCATCATTAAATTTGCTCAAAGTAATATATATATATATATATATATATATATATATATATATATATATATATATATATATATATATATATATATATATATATATATATATATATATATATATATATATATATATATATATATATATATATATGCTTTAAGTATATAAAAATAGTGAAAACAATTCAAAATCGTAAAAACAATTTAATGTGATTTTTGCAAGAATTTAAATACTGCCTAAAAGACTGTAAGAAAACGTTTAGACATGAATCATTTTCTTTTGGTTGTATACAGAGGGGATTCTACGAATAAAACGAGGGGGGGGGTGAATCCTCAAAAAGTACCGACTGACGTTTCTTAAAAAAAAAAAAAGGTCCTCAAAACAAAAATTTAACCGACTCAATTCTGTCAAACAACCGACCAGCCGACTAAATTATAAAAATAACCGACTATAACTTGAAAATCACTTTCTTTGGGGGGGGGGGGGGGTGAAAATCGCCGTAAAATCGCCTCTGGTTGTATACAAAAGTCAAGAGTTGAATAACTTTTTTTTTTTTTTAATTGCAATATGTTCTATAAACTTATTTTATCAAGTCATGAACAGGTATTTCGTGGAGCTCTGTGATAAGATAGTAAGAACTCTTGGGAGCACCTTAAATCACACGCAAAAAAAAAAAAAAAAAAATTTATAATAAAAAAAAAAAGTCATTTTTATGACCTACTTAACTATATGACCTATCAGGCGTTACACTCTAATGCATATATCTCTGTAAGAAAAGTTTTACCATTTTGAGTTCAAATATTTAGGCAACTTACAACTGAAATAAACCAAAATATAAAATTAAAAAAAAAAAAAACCTTAAACAAAAATACTTATATCTAATAAATGAAATCGTTGTATAAACAACTAAAATAACATGCATAAAAGAAGGTTGAATACATTTAATTGCATTCATTCTAATTTTACGCAAATTAAAAAAATGGTTTAAAACAAAAAATGTTTTATAGTTATTACATAGTAAAATACTTTTTATACATATATTTAATGTTTAAATTCAGATTCAAAAAGAAAACACAATGTGGGGTGAATTTATTGAAAGAGAAATATTTACCAAAAACACGTAAAAATTATTCAATTACCATTTTGTTTTCCTTGAAGCTTGCGTTCTTATATATGCAGATTATCACAATGACTATTGCTGACTTATTTATCTGTAGGAAAGGCAAAACTAAATATTTTCTAGGCTTATAATCAAGTGTCATTTCCTTAGATTATCCAAGCAATTTAGCCAGATCAATCAATATTTTATGCATAACAACGTACATTTTTTAGTATGAAGCGTACATTTTAGTATGAGTTTATTTAGATTAAATAAAAAAATAGTTTTTTACATGTAATTTTTTTTAACGAGTTATTGGAAGTTTTATTATTACAAACGATACATAAAAATTATACATAACTTTGAATGTACCGTGAATATCAGATTGAGCAAACTGCGGAAGTAACTCTTGGTAACCAAGCAAAGATTGGTTCAACTAAAAACCGTTAAGGATTAAGTGGCTTTGTAAATATGCGTTTGCCTTAAACTTTTAAGAAATGATGCATTGTAAAAATATATATCTAAGCAGTTCGCAAATTAAAATTTTCTATTTATAAATTTATAAAAAAATTGAATTTCTTAAGACTAAGTTTTCGTGTTTCTTTTTTTTTTTTTTTTTTTTTTTTTTGTACTTTTATGTATTTAAAATATTAAAGATGCAGTTAAATGCTGCGTTACTAATAAAAGAAATCATAAATTAATTATTGAAAAAAACAACAGTATAGTAATAACATTGATAATAAAAATATTGATACAACAAAATTGTTTTGAAAAAAGCGCTTAAATAATAACAATTAAAAAAAAAAAAGATTATAAATTATTACATATTATTAAAGAATAAATAAAACTGAAAATCAAACTAACCAATAATATGTGTTCCGATTTTTTGTCACCGCCATTCAAATATTTTTTGTCGTTGGACAGTCTTGCTATTATGCTATCTAACGTCAGCCTACAAGCAATAGAAAACTTCCGTTACAGATGCTAATAAAATAAAGAAACTACTTACCCATATTTTTAAAATAATAATAATAACAGTGCTTTAAACACAGAAGTTAAAAATAAATAAAACACAAAAGAACTTGTATATTTAAACTACAAAAAAACGAGACGTCTATATGGCTATTAGCCAAAATACTAAGTTTCTAAAAAAACGCATGCAACTTAATTTAAATAAATTATGACTAAAAAACACTAAATACGTTTTGGTTCTATAACTAATGTACCTAATCGAATGATGAGTCACGTGGTTTAGGTGAACGCCTTCCAAAGTACCATCTCGTTTAACATCAATGAAATTTATTATTTTTTATGAAGTTAAACTTATCATTTTAAATGTTTTTAAAAAAATATTATAAGACGTATTTAAAAATATTTAATTATGTTTTTCGTAAAAAAAAAAACCCGAAAGAATTGAGTATATCATAAGAAAGATGCAAGCCTCTAGGGAATTAAAATAAAGGAAAAAATACTTTTGTTTTTGATTAAATTTTTTCTAATCAAGCACCAGTTTTGCCATGACTAAGAATGTTTTTTTTTTTTTAATTGAAAACATAATTTTTATTAATTTTCTTATGAGGATTTATTTTTAGAAATGTTTTACCTTATTTTTAGCAAGTTCACAATATTTTTGAAAAAAATTTCGAAGCAAACATTACCGATATTATTTAGAAACATTAGTAATTATATTGCAAATCTTAGAAACTTTTTTTAATACGAAAAAAATTTATTTTCTTTATCAAACTGCACAAAATAGATATAAAAAACATCAGATATGAAAACCACACAACTTTTCGTATCTTCCAATCGTTATTTTTTCGAATTCATATGAATCTACTTTTAATCTTCTGCGATTTTACACCAAACTGTTCAAAATGCTATCAAAAGCTTAGGTATTCGGGGCCGTTTTTTGCGGGAAGAAGCATTGCCATTATTATCTTGTCAGCAATGTAAAGGTTTTATATGTAAAATGTTTTTATCAAACCTAATTCTATAGGCAGAACTAATCAGTGCAACTTTTATTTTTATGAAATACAAAACTTAATTTAATTAATTTTAGGGACGCGTCACTAACCAAAGAAAAATGTCTCTGATGTTAATTTTCTATTTGACAGTTAAAACAACTATAATGTCCAAACAAAAAAGTTCTTCAAAAAAAAAGCTATGCAAATATTGGAACGAAGTAATTAGATAATGGCGAAGCTAAATTAATTTTTAAAATGTACAATTTTTTGTAAATTTTAAAGATTCTTAAATGAAATCGTTTATTTTTTTATTATGATCAAAAGTTTTTCGGCTTACTGCTAAACGGAAAATTTGGCCGATAAAAATTTGGCTTAAGGGCAATTCTAATGTTCAGTTTATATAACCGATGGGATACGAATTAGCTTGCTGAGGTTTACATGAATTGGTCTTTCACAAAATACTTGTTTTTTTTTTTCATGCACAATACATTTAATTATTACAATCTTAAAATAAATCAAAAATTTGAGATTATTTTCTATAACCTTTAATAAACGAGCATTTATCTATAATAAAAACGGAAGAAAAGACATAGTTAAGATTAACAAAAGGAAACGTCATTTTCGTCCAATCAATCTAACACATAATAAAAACTAAATACAATTTTAACAGAAGCACATAAAAACATTTTCATAGATAAATGGAAAAGATGATTTTTTTTAAAAAAAAACAACAGAAAAACAAAAAAAAACAGTAACATAAAATTCTAAAAATTATTTTACAAATGTCAATCTTTTTAAGATAATTTGTGGTTTCCAGCCAAATTGCTTAACTGCCAAGGATTGCTTCGTCCATTGTAATAAAATTGACATAAGTCGTACATTATTGATGCTAATTACGATCGGATATTCGTAGCTTAGCAAACTTTTACAATATAATTAGCAAATTATTTTTTTTAGATATTTAACAATTAAAATGACTCAAAGAATTTTGGAAAAATTTATCTGCGACGTTACTGGACAAACATTTTTTTTTAAATATAACCACAAACTATATAGCGCATAATTAAAATTTATGTAGGGTGCAATGTTTAAAAGAACATATTTTTTTGTTCCCTAATAAAAAAAAGACCAACCGCCGGTGGCGCCATCATTATAATAGTAAAAATATTATGATGATTAACTATATTATTAATAATAAAACTGCTGTAAATAATACTAACAATAATAAAAGCAATAAAAATAGTAATAATAATAATAATTAATATTTTAATATTATTATAAAGAGTTTAATGTTCTTCAACTTCATTTTGCTTGCCTGGATTTATTCTTAGTTTTTACTTTTTTGTAGTTTTGGTAAAATACAAATCAAGCTCAAGCTAAAGGGTAGCTGATGATAGATAATACTCCAGATCTAACATCTCTAATGCAAGTCTAATGGTATCTAAGTATCTTAATGGATGTATGGTGTCTAATGAAATGTAGTAACTTTAAATATTTAACATTATAAATTTTGTAAATTAAACTGTTCCACCAAGAATTAGTAATACTCCACCAATAATTAGTAATACTGTGAGTATTACTAATTATTGGTGGAACAAAAAGAATCACTTGGAAAGCTATTTTATACAGCTGTGCTTTTAAACAAGCGTTATCTTAACCAAAAAGAAAGCTTTGTCCTTACGCACACACACACACACACACACACACACACACACACACACACACACACACACACAAATATATGTGTGTGTGCGTGTGTGTGTAAGGACAAATAAAATTTTCAATATTCAATTATATTATTCAATATTTGTTTTATTGTAAATGTATTATTTTTTATTTGTAATATATAATAATTATATATATAAATATAAATATATATATATATATATATATATATATATATATATATATATATATATATATATATATATATATATATATATATACATTTATGTATATATATACAAACATTTATATATATACATATATATATATATATATATATATATATATATATATATATATATATATATATATATATATATATATATATATATATATATATATATATGTATATATATATATATATATACAAACATTTATATATATACATATATATATATATATATATATATATATATATATATATATATATATATATATATATATATATATATATATATATATATATATATATATATATATATATATATATATATATATATATATATATATATATATATAATTTAATTATTGCAAGCGGTTCAAAAAGAGTAAAAATAAAAGTAGAAAATATATAAATAACCTAGAAAACGGTTGCTAGATTTTTAAAACATGATGATATACTCTATATACGTTTATTCTCGAAATTAAATAATCATAATTTGAATTTATTATAGTGTACTAACCCTTCGCTTAGCATTCTAGACTCCCTTGAGATTCTTCCTGCATTAGGATTTAAAAAAAAATGGGTCACTACCACCAGCGTTACCGCAAACTCATTAAACCTCACCACCTATGCTTTGTTCACAGTAACTAATGTTCAAACAATCCCAGCAAAAAAAACTTATAATGTTTCTTTTCTCTTTAATTTTAAGCTTAAAGAATAGTATTTACTGGCTTTAACGGTACACCAAATAAAAACTCCAAACTTTTGTTATTATGGATTTTAGCTCAAGATTTTAGTGAAGCGAATTCTTTTCATTCAAGAAATACAAGGAAACACACAAAAGACTTACAATAAACCATTATTGAGCAAATAATAGAAACCATAATCTCTTGTAAATTTATCAAAAAGGATTTATAAACATTACTTTTAAAAGCCAATCAAATTGCCTGTTTTTGAACTCACCAATTAGAAATCGTGTTTTTGCATGTTTTTCATGTTCATCCGTTTCTGACGTGTGCAAATCCAGTTACATTTAAAAAAACTGTGATAATCTCACACTCCATTGCAGAGCTTTGCTTAGAAAAAGTGAATATATGAAAATACTTTGAAAATAACGAATGAAGGAAAATATTTGTAGATATATATATATATATATATATATATATATATATATATATATATATACATATATATATATATATATATATATATATGTATATATATATATATATATATATATATATATATATATATATATATATATATATATATATATATATATATATCTGGGTACATCAAATACTTTGTCGCATACACTTTTTCGCAAAATTTATGCGATCAAGTCAACTAATCAATATTTCATAAAATAGAATAAAAAATGTTTTTCCAAAAAAAAAGAATAAGGCTAACAACTAAACTGTGAATACCAATAAATACAAGCTGAATGAATGAAATCTAAAATTTGTCAATGATGCTTCAATATTTACTCGCAAATCTAAGTTAAATTGAGCGTACTTTCAATCAACTTAAGGATTTTCAAATTACGGTGGGACTTTTGCAAGTTCTCTTCAAGACATTGCATTTTATAAGATGTTTAAAATTTTTATCTTTTCAACACTTACGATTTTTTATAAATATAATGTGCTAACATAGTTAAACTATTTCTATTGATTATTTGTTAATTGACAAGAAAGCTTTTATTTCTCAACAAGCAAAAATTTAGCAAAATAATTATTTAAAATTTTTGGTGAGTGGTAACTATGGTAACAATATAAACTTTTTATTTGACAGTTTTACTGGTAAACTATGAACTTAACAGAATGAAAAATGTTTTAAAAAAGATATAAAAATAATTTTTTTTTTTGGTGAAAATGTTTACAATAAAATGCAGCATTCAACCTATACTGAGGGTAAAATTATCTTCTTGGGAAATAATGCCGACTTATTCTATAATCACTTGAAGAAACACAGATTTAAGCCTCTTTAAAGGTTGCAAGTCTTTGGCGGTAAAGTTTGGTGAAGACGTATGTAAACAATAGAATTAAATAGCATGACTAAAAAAGAAAAAAAAACAAATAATGATGGAGTCATTTGTATATAATTAGTCAACCAAAATAATTTTAGTAGCCAGGAATAATAATTTTAGTTTTGCTATTATGCCAACCTTTTACTTTTGCCAAATTTTATTTCTAATTTTTATGTAAACTATGCATATTTATAGTTTATAATAGAAAAATTTTTTTGTATCAAGGGACCAAGGAAAGTGTTTGTAAAAAGAATGAAGTTTAGTATTTAGTGTAAAAATTAACGCAATTTCGTTGCATTTATAAATGCTGTGTGCATGTTCTAACAACTTGTTATAATTCAGTTAATATCCGAAACTTTGCATTAAATTAAAAATCGAACAAATGCATGTTTTTGCATTTTAGTCTGTATCGAGCCAACTTAGAGATAATGGGGAATCTAGTTAGCTGTTGGGGCATTAAATGCAACTTAAAAACGTTTTAATTTTAAATATCCTGTAAGGATATTTTAGCAACACATTGTAAAAATAGGATCTTGTTGTTGCGACAGTCTTATTTGCTGTTTGAAGCCTTGCGTCAACTTTTTTTGTTCATTATATTTTTAAGCTTTTTTATTGTTATATTATTAAAAAAATCCAATCTGTGCATCAAGTAAAAAAAGTGCATTGTTGGTTTATTGAATGAAGCTATTATCGGCAATCTGTGTTAAACTAATTTTGATAATTTATTTAAAACAGCTTAGAAACGTAATTTCTAATTTAAAATATTTTTTTAATTTTATAAATTTTTAGGGTAACCTGAACCAGATTTTTTTAAATGTACTAAAGTCCACGTAACGCAAAGATGTCCATAACAATACGTGCCTAATGACTTACGACAAATTTACTTTCGCGTGAAGAGGCTATTAAATTTCTCATTTATTGTCAGTTTCGATTTTCAGTGACAGCAAATCAAAAACTAAAAAATGTAGTTTAAGGCATTATTGAACTTTTATGCTTTATTAGTATAAAAGTTGTTAACTTTTTTCAAAATTGCGAAATCAACAATTTCTATGGTTACTTATAAAGTTGTGCTCTTGTTCCCATGATAACTTAAAGAGGTCGTGTAGTGAGAAATAAATAGTAAGGAATGATACGAAACAATTAATATATCTTTTGGAAACAATCTTCTTTTTTGATTTTTTATGTTTGCTTAAATTAAAAAAACTTTATATAGTAACCATATGGCTGAATATTATTTCTAGTAAAACTTATGTTTTTAGAATACAATTTATAACAAAGCAAATTTATAATTAAAAACAAACTATTTTGAACCATTTTGTTATGATGTAATATATATATCGCTTTTCTGGCCTCTTAAAAATGCTAACTTAACATTGACTTTAAAAAAAGAAAATAAATTAAATTTGACTATTTACAATATATACTATATAGGTTAACAATTAGTGATGCTTAGCAACAACGAATAAATTAAGTCCGCTATTTACACTTACTTATGAAAGTTAAGGGGACATAAAATCCAACTTCAAGTTATTAATTTTTTCAAATAATTTTTCTGGAAGAAAATAAAAGACATAAAACAAAACTTCACCACTTTTTTCTTCTTTATGATTGTGTGCGTAAATTGTAGCTTAAATTACGTCACAAACTTTCAAACCAAATATAAGAAATCCAAAAGCAATATATCAAGATATCTTTTACTAAGATTAAAAATTAAAAAAGGAGTGATTTAACGATTTTGGGAGGTGATAATATTTATGATATTGGACAGAAAAAAATATTTTAAAAAAGAACACGCCTTTTTTTAATTCAAAAGTTATTTTGAATGCAAAATTAAAGACGATGCACTCCTATTTTTATTAGGTCACAACTTTATCAGACTGCATGTTGCTTACTGCTTAGTCAGAATAACATATACAAAAGAGATGTGTTTTTATAATTGAAATGACGTCTAAGGTATCTTTAAACAAAAATAGGGATAATAAATTATGAGTTTACAATTGAAAGCATAAAAAATTATGAGGAAATGGCTACTTTGTACCCATAGCTTCGCGTTTAGAACCCACTTACACATTTGCATTAATTCCAAAACATTTTAAGTTGGTAAAACTGTTTAACATAGAGATAAGAAGATGAAATCACACTTCCTAATACTTTATGCGACCCTTGGCTAGTAATAATAAATCGCTTCAAGAAATAGTTTTGCAAATTTTTCAAAAATACCTTTTGATCCTGGTACCTTTCCTTTTATCAAGACATTGTTTACTATTAAATTAACAGTTTAAAAAAATTGTACTAACATTACGTAATTTAATGTACAACTTTAAAATTTTAGCGTATCTACGTTTGAGTTCCAGTTTAAATGTAAAACAAAACGCGCAAAAAGGTAACGTATAAGCAATTGACGTATTTAAAAAAGTAATAACAAAGTTTCTAGCGTGTGCCTTTAACAAACAAATACAAGAGTCGCCCACATTAAGCAACCGCAATTAGCTAATAAAATTTGGAATGTTGTTTTTTTCGTTCGGCTTTAAAACGTCGGTATTTGTTGGAATGAAACCATTTAGTAATGAATGAACATTTCGAATTACTTTAATCTTTGGAGATAAACTTGAAAAAAGAATTTAAAAAGGCTTTTTATAAATAAAGCTATTTTAAATTTTTTTGATGTTTTAAATGTGTAATTATCTAAGTATTTTTTTTTTCCAAATAATAAACAGTAGCTAACTATATGGATAAAATATAATTTCTAAATTATAATTTAAAATTTTGAAAACAATTATAAAACCTCAACGAAAACTTCTCATTTTTGTTTGAAAACCTTTTGTTAAATGAAACGTCGAGTGATTTATTTAATTTAATTGGAATGCTTTTACAATATACTTCAAATAACGTTAAAGGATTATCTTTGCATTTATTATTGTCTTTTCATTATTATCTATGTAATTTGCTTGTTTGATCTTAATTTATTATTTTATTGCAAGAAACTTATGGGTTTGAGTGACGTAAAAAATATTAGATAATGAAGCCGATTAGACATTTAAAAGATCCGATTTATTTTACCGATCCGAAAATATGAATTTGAAATAAATGTTTAATATTTTTAAATATTTATTTGATAATTTTATTATAAAATTTATGTGTAATAAGTTATTCTTTTAATTTTATTTTTACATTTGTTTGTCGTTGTACAATTCTATAGGTAATAATAACAAAAAAAAAAATTTTTACATAAAAAAATAAATTTTTTTGGACATAATTTTTTTTTTTTATTTAGACATTAAAAAAAAAAAATTTATATAATGTATGCACTGCATCAAACAAGTGAGCACTGATTCCATCCTCTAAGATTAAAAGCAAGTTATAATAAAGAATATATATATATATATATATATATATATATATATATATATATATATATATATATATATATATATATATATATATATATATATACATATATATCAGTGACGGATTGAGGTTTAGTGTCGCGGGGGGGGGGGCCAAGTCAATAAATAGGGGCGACCGGGGTTGCCTTCAGTAGTTTAACCTTATATATATATATATATATTTTAATTGTTTTAGGGGGCGCCGTTAGACCGTTTTAGGGTGCGTGGGGGGCAGCTCGCCCCCCCCCCACGCCCTATACTAAATCCGCCACTGATATATATATATATATATGTATGTATATATATATATATATATATATATACATACATATATATATATATATATATATATATATATATATATATATATATATATATATATATATATATATATATATATATATATATATATATATATATATATGTGTATATATATAT